GGTAGTAGCTGTATTCGGTATCAATAAACTCCAAGATAGTTTTGAGCCGCTGGTCTTTAGGGTCATGCGTAGGCTTCGGAACTGTCAGTTGAAGGGACCGGGCGTCTTCAAAAAAGCAAAGTCTTTAAATTAAAGGAAGATTAGGACGTAGACGACAGTGAAACGCCACCAAGATCTATTACTGAAACAATGAACGATAAACGCATTACTTCGACAGACCGTGTTTTAAGTGCGATAGGTAGAAAACTAGGCTGAGTCAATAGGAAGCATAGTAGGATAGGCAAGGAGTACGACTCGAGAGACCCAGGCGGCCTAAAATGATCGAATGTGGACAAAAATCTCAGAAAAGCATTAGCGACCATGCACAGTCAACGCAAACTGTCACTGCTTAATTTGGTCCTACTTAAAAGGTACCAATGCACGAGATTGACAATTTTTTTCAGCCGCCGTGACAGTGGCGGTCCTATCGACGTTCAGAGGTGGCCGGAATAGAAAACACAACGATCGTAGTGACTGATCCTATTCTGCCCAAAGTTAGCGGATTTGATTTGGAAAATGCAGAAAGACACAGTACTGTCAAATACTGAAGAGCAAACATAGTAAGTTATAAAGATTCTTTTGGATATGGCTACAGGCTGAAGTTTAACAAGAATATTATTCCGTACTTTCGACATAGGTACTAGCTAGCCACAAGTCCAGACAATTGTTTCGCCGTTGAATTTCTGCTGCTATAGCGACAGAAGTCCAGCTCTCCGCTGGGTCTCCCAATGCCATCTATGCGATTTCTGATAGTCCAATGTGCGTTACGTAGTAGTGATTACACAACAATTGATTTTCTTCATCTCAAATGTTCGTCGAAAATTCGGGTCTGACACTAAGACGTTTGGCCCCCATCACGCAAGTCCATGCCCTGCGCTTAGAAATTGCTGAAAGTAAAACTTACAGAAGCCTTTGCTGTTAGAGATCTAGAATGCTGCAGAACGAAGATGGAGAATAAAACAAAAGAAAAAACAAGAGGAAAGGAGATAAACTGGTCGCGAAGAAACAGTAAGTATGCCAAAAAGGTACCCTCTTACTAACGATTCAAGTAACCACGTTCCGCAATCTTACCTGATTGCAAAACAGAAGATGCTCGCGCCAATTTCTTTTGAAGGCCAGCGTTCTGGCCATAATGACAGCCGCTAATGACAGGGCGATGTAACAAAAGAGGCTGGAGTGACCGTTGCGGATACGTTAGGTCCCCTCAAGGCAGAAGGGCAACTTAAACTAACCACCCTGGAAGAAGGGGTAGGAGAATAGGACATAAAAATGCGCCCCATAGTGGTCATTGTAGTGCGAGGGCAGCTTAGAGACGCATTCTACTGCTCATCGTGGATTCAGCTAGCTCGCAGAAAGGAAGACGGGTGTAAGGCTTTCCCCCGAAACATCAGGGGAAGGACACCTAAATCGAGAGGATGGCGATAAATAAGCGAGAACTGTGATATTGGTGGCGGTGGTTGTAGCATCTTTAGCCGGCAACAGATATGCG